AGAGTGTAGTCTTTTTTAACTAATATTTATTTCATTAGCTTAAGAGTAAGTCAGTTCCTATGCAATGATTAAATCAGATGTAATATGACGTGTCAAGTAGTACGCTTCCATTAGTTCTCACTTTTTAAATTTATTTTTTTTTTTATAATAAGGAGAAGATAATACATGGTACAGTCTGTCAACAGCACCTTTCAAATATACACAATTCAAAGTTAGTTAGCCTGTAACTACTTTCCTGAATCAGAAGTGCTATTTCAGTAATAATTGCCAACCAGCATGCAGATCATTGCCCGACCTGAAGTTTCACATTACTACTTGTAACTTAATTTTTTTTTTTTTCCATTGAAAACATCCTTACTTCCTAAAAATCAAGCTCAGGTAGTGTTTTTGGTTTTGTTTTCAAGAAAAAGGTAAGATAATACTTACCTTGTCCTTTTTCAAAAAATATAATTTTTGATTCTGGAAGAAAATTGGATCCTGTCACCACCATTTCATGGCCTCCATTTACTGAACAACTATTGATGCTGTACTTCTCGATCTGAGGAAGTTCTTGAGCAGATCGCTGAGCTTTAAAAAAAAAAAAATAAAGGGAAAAAGTGTTATTCACAATTTTAATCATAGTGACATTTCTTCATATTGGTGTACAATTTATCTTTGCTTTTGAAGATTAAAATTAGGTTGAAATTACATAATTATAGAGAAGAAAACCCAAGAAGCCATGAATACCAACAGTCTCTACTGTTACAGCAAATTAAATTTTTAGTTTAGGAATATTGGTTTAAAAAATTAGTATTTCAAAGACAAAATGAATTCTAGGAGAAATTCGGATGGTTTGAGGTCAGGTTTGACTCCTTATTGCCTGCATTTAACCAATGAACTCTCTAGAAGTTTAGCTGTTCATTAGCTAATACTGTATAAAGACAAGTAATGGTATAGACTCTTCTAAATGAAATGGTATTAGTTCTTCCCAAAATGAATATTTATTTTCACTGAGGTGTATCAGCTCTCTGTGCCCATACAGAGGAACTACTGAAGCTGCTAGCTGTGTGACTGTAGGATTAGGTTTAAAAGCCAAAACATTGTTTTTCCTCAAAACCTTCAGGCTGCCACTTGGCAAGTACCATCTTTAAATAAAGATATGTTGACTTTTGGTAATTTAGCCCTTTACACACAACGTTTTTTTACACACACTTGTTATATACAATTCTGACAGTAAATATTGTCAGAATGACAATACTACTGACACATGCAGAAAACACGAGTATAAATTATGTATAGTTAAAGCAATCTTACAGCATTCAACAGGTATGGAAGCAGTCTGCAGAGATAAGACTTTTCCACTAGGTTGTGGGATGTGAACACGAAACACAAGTCGCACTCTGGTATTCTTCCTTCCAATATCTGTCTCTCCTTTACGGAGCTCTATATCTGAATTGCGAAGTTTCAAAATACCAGCACAATCAATACTGGAGATAGGTGAGGACGGATGGATCAGAAGAGAAATGGAAGAAAATCAATCAAACTATTGCCAAAGTATACTCTGTAACTTTTCTTTTGTTAAAGAATGAAGAGCTTTCTATTTTTTCCCTGTGTTACGCTATTTTAAATGTTACTTTAAATGTCTGAAATTAAAAGATGTGTTAGTGTCAAAAGCGGCAGCAAGTACTGTTGAAACAATTTGTCTTATAAATGTCTAGCTGCTTCTTTTTTGAACCTTTAAAAAACTTATGTTATTGTACATTGTTTAACCTTTAAAGTAAGTTATTTAACATAGTAAATATCATTTACAAGGAGCAAGAGACCTATACTTAGTTCTGCCTTAGGAGGGACTAGAGAATGACAAAAGTGTAGCCATCAAACCCCAGCTACCATTCCACATAGTTATCAATTATTCGTATGAGACGCATACACTTTAATCAAGTAACACATACACATTAACTTGTGAGGAGTGTTATCTTGCACATCATCGCAGGATCACAGCATTCAATGGAACTAGAATGAAGTCTGCAACTAGGAGAAGTTAAGCTGACTTCAGAAGTCTACATAAGAAATAAATGCGATACATAAACAAATAATTGTGCTTCACCCTGTTCACTGACAGTCCAGCTAGAACAGAGCAGTTTAATTGTTGCTATTAAACGATTATTTAGCACATTCTATCTAGCAAGACCTGAAAAGCCAGAATAACGCAACTGCTAAAAATAAAAAAAAATTAAAAATAATTCAAAACAAGGAAAAGGCCTACCGAGATACCAGAAGTGAAAACAACTCATTCAACCAAGAAACAACTAAACTGTATGACTGTATTTTCATAGAAAAAAAAGTCTTGTGTCTTTGTAAAATCAAACAAAAACTCTACCAGTCTGTAAAACATACAGTTCTACAAACATGGAGTCATACATATGCGTGGATTGTACGGGGAAGTATAACCCCAGCAGCACTCATCTATTCCCCTGTCTCTCTACTCCTTTGCCTCTGACTACCAAAGCATTGGCATATTTAAAGAGATGTGCCTGCCTTAATCACGAGCCATATTTGTGGAAAATATGCTATTCTACAAGATTTTGCTTTCACCTTTATACAAATGAAAAAAAAAACCACCAAAACAGAGAAAAACCACACAGCAACTAAACAGCTGATTTATGCTGTGATGTACCTGGCTGACATATTATTTTCAGGAAGAAGTGGTATTTCCAGAACTTTTGTGCTGGCGATTATTATCTCTTGACTGGCTGTTGCAACTGTTTTTCCAGTGATTCGGTGCACCTGGTAGAACGCATGAGGTCTTAAGTAGCGATCATCTGCTGTTCCGATGAACATCTGTAGGTTTACTGGCTTTTCGCTGTAGCCCAGGAGCTGATGAAAAAGTAGACGAAACATTAAAATATTAGTTGACTTTTACTGCATTTGTGTGTGCATAATATAAATACATGACTTAAGAGTCAAAGAGTAGTATTTAATTACAACCTTCTTCAGTCTCTTCAGAAATCAGAAAACTGAGTACAGGTATCTGTCCCCCAGTACAAGTATCAGCAACAGCATTTACCAGAACAAATGGATATCGAAATATCTTTATTACTTTTGAATCTCTCAAAGAGAAAAGAATCATTTTATCTACAGAATTTCTACAGCAAAGCTATGCTATGTTATAGGTGCATTTCTGATACTGTTTTTAATCAAAGCCAAATTACCAATTTTACTAAGACACACCTAGTTTCTAGAAACACTAAAAATATTTTAAAGTTTCGTTTTTCCTCTATGGAATGCAATAGTGAGTTTTATTAAACTTCAGGGGTTTTGTGAATGCAAATGTATTATGTTAGGACAAAGAAATTCTAATATATAGCTAGAATAATCAGGTTTCATTTGGGGGGAGGGGGGCAAAGAAAATGTTTTAAAACCCCAAATTTGATAAGTGTTAAGTTAATTTGTGCATCTTTCCTTTTCTCATATATAAGACTAACCACAAATGCACTCACTTGTCATTAAACCACCTGTGGCTTGAACTAACAGTAGTAACTCTAGCCACAAAACACGTAGAAACATCAGAAAAAAAACCCAAAGCCAACTCTAAAAGAAAAAGCTAGTTTTACAATAGTACATTAGTAACATATTATCCAGAAGATTTAAGGAAAGAAGTTTAACCAACAGTAACATGCAAGTTTCCTTTAGCCACTGCAATTTTAAATCCAAAGCCAATAAAATATGGCTTATAAACCCATGAAGTTTACTTCACCTTCTTGCAATTGGCAGATTGATGCACACAGCAAGTTACATAATTTCTAAAGAGCAATGAAGTAAATTTACATTTTGACTTCAACATCAACTTATGTTCAGACTGGAGAGCGGGCCAGAGAGTCCTTCTTTAAATGTGGTTTTGTCATGTCAATATTTTTGTCTCTAGGGAGAGTTATTTGGTCACACAACAATATTGTCCAAGCTCTTTACAGAGCTAACACTTAAAAAACAAACAAACCCATGTCAGTTTAACCTACTTACAAGAGTAATTTAACACCGGTAGTCACCAGTACGAAAAACCAGCGCACACCCACACCCAGAAATCAGAAGCACCACTGTAGATCCCTCGTACCTTGATGCACTATTATTGGCCTTAAATTTTATGTACACCAAATGAACGCCCATTTTCTATATTCAAGTTACAGCTGTGACAGCACCTACCGGTCTTGTCATTTTTATGAGAGCTTTCTCAATCAAGAACAGAAATTTGGTTTCTGATAGAAGTCTGGAACATTAAAGAGCCATTCTCAAAGCTTTCAGCCTTACATAAATGCTTTTGTCCAAGATGCAATACTCATTAATGAATCCATCTAGATATAACAGCATAGTGTCGTGGTTTGGGCTGGACACATGCCCGTATTTCCTCTCCATTAGTTTTAGTTTGTGGTCTTCCCATTCACCCAATGATCTTAAATGTGAGTGAGAAGCAGAACAGCCAAAATCTAGACCACCTTAGACAAATAAAGCTGACCTTACTCAAATAAACCCAAACCAACAGATGAGGCTTGTTCTTCACCTCTTCACATCCAGCACACACGCAAAATCTAAAATAATACCCAAGACATATAGCAGATAAAAATCTACAGCATGTAACTGTTATTGAGCAACAACATACATATCTTCAGCAGCTGACACAAAAGCTTGGTAGACCGAATACTTCAGTTGTTACAATCACAGCATTATGAGAGTGCTCTCAGAGAAAATGCTCATCCTATTTATTTATTTATTTTTAAGCAAATGGGGAAGAAAGAAAGGAAGCCGTTCAGAATTACTGCTTCTGGGCTGGGAGATCTCTACACGATTACTGCAGTAAGGAGACTGTGCTGCTTTTCACAGTTGCAGACAAGTCTGAATTCTGTTGTGCTCAAATCTGCTTGTACCTTTCTTGGGAGATACACAACATCTCCCAGCTGTCGTGCCTTTAAGAGGCCAATCCAGTTCAACTTTTACCATAAAACATCATAAACTACACTCGTACCGCATTGTACATAGACTACAAGTGAGGTTGGGCTAGAGCAGATTGGCGTCTGTCCTTAAACTCAATGAATTCTCAGCTGTCTCCCCACCTGATTCCAGCTACCACCGAGAATTCACATGTGCACAGGCAAGCAGAACAAACCCACTTAATAACCGACTTAATCAAAAAGTCACTTCTCATGGGTTTAACAATCCTTACCGCTTCAGATCCTCATTATAATGAGGGAAAAATATCTGCCAGAAAAAGCCAAGCAATCTTTAAAAGTCGTGGCAGCTTTTACCAAATACAGTGTCCTATCCTATAATTTACATATTTCAAACTAATTCCTTACATGATCTCATTTATTTGCATTTACATATGTAGTCTATTATTTGCAGGCTTTTGTTCTGTCAAATATGTAAAATCTTTTTGTTCTCCCCAGAGTTCTCAGTACAAATAGAGCTAAATCCAGGAAAAAAAAAAAACCCCACCACAAAACAACAAACCAAACCAGAAAACCCTCAGCCAGGGAGTGGAGACAGACTGGATTATCAGAGTTGCTTCCCATGAAAATAAATAGGACGTTCAAGCATTTACAAGTGCTACAGTGGAGACAAAGAACCTCCTGTGACCATCAGTGTGCTGACAGGTTTCTCTTCCTTCATCTGTCAGAAGTCACCTGTAAACTACAGGAACCCAACAGGACCACAACAAACTTTACTCTTAGTTATTGTCACGTTGATAGTGGAGCATGGGGACTCCTACATCAAATACATAAACACATACCTTCCTTTGTCACTTGATGCAGGACTCCACATCTTTCCAAAAGACTTTTGTTTAAATACCAAAGGAATATTTGCATATTCTCTGTGAGACTGAATTATTCTAGCAGTTAAGAAAGTTTAAGGATGTGTATTAGCTTAGCATTTACAGCAGCCATCTTGTCCCAAGTTCTCAACACTGTCTCCACCATCCATTTTCCTTCGAGTTAAAATTAAATCTTAACACAATGGAATAGAGCCTAAATGTGACGTTTGTTAAATGTGTTCACTTTAATACTGGGAATTAAATAAATTACAAGCCAGACCTATTCAAAAATTTGAATAACTTCCAAATGGGGTCACTGTGACAAAGGTAATTTCCAATTAAAGCTATCTTCCCTTTCCTTAACAATGGACACGTGCACAAGCGTTCTAGCGATACTAGTGATAGGAGAGAGAGAAAGGGGAGTGGGGGGAAGGGATAGGCATAAAACTGAGCTGGTCTGTCTCCAGGCAGTGGAGAAACTGCCCTCTACAGAAGCCTACTCAGAGCAGGAGCCTAATTTAGAGAAGCAAAATATACCATTGCAGCTGCTGGCATGGGGTATCGCCTGTGAACCTCTATGGCTGTATACTACATTTGAATTGCTCAAAGTCATGCCTAACACTAGTACGGCTTCTGTTATTCTTCAGCAAAGCTCACCCTCTATTCTCGCCCAGGTATGCTATTATGGAAGACAGACAGGGCCTGGTTTCTGCAAAGCATGTTGTGGGAGGGAAAGCGGTGGGAAACTCTGACAAAAAATGCCCACCCCCCAGCAGAGTAGTTCTATATCAACAGGTTATCAAACACGTTTTCTGTATGATGGTCTCGTGACACAAGCTTGTGTGCTTGTCGACTGGCTCACATCACTACAGTACATGAGCTGTACCAAGGTAGGAATTTGAAAAGGTATTACTACAGCTGCAGAAGAAATAATGAAAACCCCACAACAAGAGCTCACCCAGTAGTACCACCTTGAGTCACTTTCCTTCCGATTCCTATAGTAAATGAAATGAAAACAAACAACAAATCCCATGCCCCAAGGAAACTACAAGGAAAAATATCACAATGCAACAGAATACACTTCTATAGTCATTTAAGAGAATGTTGTAATACAGAAACATATAAATAAGGTATTTCATAATTAAAAATTATCTGTAATAACATCAGGACAAACCTCTGACAATTTCATACATAGTTAAAAGCCATGTTAGCGTAAACCAGTCTCAAAAACAAACAAACAAGCCAACAAAGTCCGCCCCCCACAACTATGTCAATCAGATGCTTACACTACAGCTTTGTCCCAAATGAATTGCTGTAAAGGATCTGCAGTGAAGTCCTGTTAAAGGTACTGGAATACATATATGGTTAGGCACAGTAGTAAGAGACTGGCAAGGTAGCAGAGGCTTCATAAATTTATACTTTGCATTACAGATCATTTCTTGCATTTATTCAAGGTTTAAAATAAAGAGACAATGGCATAGAAGAACAATATAAAGCCATAAATATAACCACTGTGTGCAAGTCAGTGTGACAATTAAGTAAGCTGGGTGTGGAGAAGAAAAGAATAACCCCATCTGCCACATCACTGAGCGTAATTCAGAGCCCGATTACAGTCACTGGGGCTGCATAAAAAGGAAACAGATCATAGTCCTAAGTGAGCATTGAGCAAGTTGCACAGTGTCCTCGTGTTTCCAACAGCAAAAAAGACAGTAAGCTTAATAGGCTATGGATGCTAATGAGACAGCCTTATGCGCTAGCTAAAACTTTGAGGCACTTGGAGAGAGTGCCAAAACCAACATGTTGCTAAAAAAACACCCCAAAAACCAACACCCCTCCCACCCCCCCCAACCTTTATTATACAAGTTTGTGCTTTAGAACTAACATTTCCCCCTTAAATCTTGTCTAATATGTGAGCTGACAACTCTGGGCATGACACGGATTCAGCAAGTGTAACACTGAACATGTCAAGTGTCTGTAATCAAAGAGAAGAGTCTGTGGGGGCCAGTGAGCCAAGGGGTGGGTAGAAAATGATCCGCCAGCTTGTGGAGAGGATGCCTGCACACCCTGTGTAATT